TGGGCCCCATTTCATACACAAGTCTGTATCCTTAACACTTGTTACCTCACGTTGCTCATGTGTCTGGAAAAAAAAAAACTAGATAGCTGTCTATTTAGCAAGGAGAAAGGAGTATTTTGATAGTAGGACTAACAGAACAATAGGGGTATGGGGGCACTACGGCGCCCCCTTCTGACTGACATACTTGGGTCGGATAGTCTGAGTAGTGGGTAGGAATTGACATCTTCCTACCAAGTCTGGTTGGTCTAGCTCTTACGGTTTAGGCTGCACATTCAGTTTTAGGGAAGAAAAATAATAACAAATCCTAAGAAAAACAATAAGGTAATGCTTTGGACCCTTAATAAATAAAATAAGATAAAATAAAAAATTTTAAAAATGGACACGGACCACGACCAAGAGAGGATCCTGCAGGAACAGGAGTGGGCCCCATTTCATACACAAGTCTGTATCCTTAACACTTGTTACCTCACGTTGCTCATGTGTCTGGAAAAAAAAAACTAGATAGCTGTCTATTTAGCACGAGTACAACATTAACTTGTCTACAATAACTATTTACCATTCTAAAATCACCATCTTCAACTGACAGGAGAAGATATCGCAGATGTCACAAGGCTACATGAGTATTGCACCAGCTTAAACAAACGCAGCCAACAGGCACGCATAATGTTTATGTGGTGGGAAATGGAGATCGCACTGTTTACCTCAAAACTTTGCATTCAGGCTAGAACTATTTCATGTCTGAATTCCTTCTAGCTTCTCATCTGAACGCATATGAATCTTTAGAACAATACACGACTTATTTTGTTCAAATTAGTTATGATGCTGTCAGCAAACTAAAAACAAAAGGAACAGATAACGGAAGGGGGAAAATATGATGACACTCATCTGTAATCACTTTATTGGACTGTCATCCAATGTGGAAACATGTTTTGTTTGCACAAAGACTTTAAATACAAAACTGTCCGGGTATACTCTCGAACTAATGACTGGATTTACAGTCTTTACTGTTATGGCTTGATAGCTTGCTCGCTTGCACAATTTCTCTTGTTCTGGTGGCAGTTTTTGTCTCAAATTCCACATGCACAAAGGCCATTCCAGTTAGTTTCCTGGTAGCCTCTTTGATCCTTGTGACTCACCAGCGTTAAAAATACGAGCGTAAAGCAATTGAAAAAATACTCTAATGTCTTCTAAGCAAAAACAATACGCAGATTTTGAAATACTTGCATCAAACGTGCTGTCAACACATGTAAACGGCTATATTAACTATAACCACTGATTTTTTATTACTATAATTTCTTCTTTTTCACAATGAGGTAATGCCACCAACATCGGCATCATACTGGAAGGTAAACCCGCTGCTCAAATCCACTCACGCTATAGCAAAATACAGCTAGAATCACACAAGATAGCGCAAAGTATATGCAAATCCAGATTACCTTGACCCTCTTGCCTTGAATATCTATAGTCTTCATAGTAAAGTCCACTCCGATCGTATTTCCTTGCCTCTCGATGAATATGCCGGTCTTGAATCGCTGGACAACGCAAGTTTTGCCCACGCCGACGTCCCCCACTAAAACTATCTTAAAAACGAAATCGTAGTTATCGTCGGTCTCCGGTGATGCCATGTCTTTCAGCAGGAGATGCGAGGTGGTGCCGGGTCAGCCCGCTATGAGCAAACCGAGCTGTGTACACAGGCACAGGAGACGCGCTGCCCGGCCTGCGCATGTGACGTGGATGCATGTGCATCAACACGGAAGCGCTGCGTTCGCACGCGGTCCTGATTTTGGTGTCCCAGAACATCGCCTGTTGTTTGTTCAACTGTCATTTACTTTGTACAGGTGTGTGACAAAAGCGAAATACAATTCCCCTACCCCAAGGTGTTTAACAAGATCACATACATTAAGTTTATACACATTCACATACATTGCACTTCACACATTTCTTCTTTGTCTTTCAAAAGTTTCAGCCTCGGCACATTGGCCATTTCTTACATTGTGGAGCAAGTTTCCTTGATGGCTGTTTGTGTTAGCTTGCGTCAGGGGGAGTTTTGCTTGTGTGTACATGTATGTCATCTTATTGACAGTTCTCGCAGTAAAAAGAAATACGCGAGGAGTGCGCTGAGCAACTTTAAACATAGTAGCCTATCAAGTGCTGAGACAGGGCCCCTACAAGCTGGTGGATGTGTTTCACTGTTTTACATTGGATCACTCAATATAGTACAGGCGAGTGAGGCTCGAACTCACTAGAACTCGAATTTCTTGAAAGTCGAACAAACCAGTTTGACCTAGAACTCGATCTGAATATCAGAAGTCGAACCGTGAAGGCTGACCTAATATAAATTGTACGCGCCAGGAAACTTGAATGCCTTCTTCACAGACTGGACGATTAACCAACTAAAGCAACGCAACATTACAGTAACTAACAATAAACAAACCACTAACTTACGTGCACTATTAGACATTTATGTAATTTATTTAAACTTTATTTTACCAGTTAAATTAACTGAAAATCAGTTCTCACTACTTCGTGATATTCGGGAGAAATAGCAGATTACACATCGGAACTGCCGGGGATACAAACGTCATGCGTGTAACTAAACTCTTCAGCCAATAAGGGCAAACGTGTGTCGTCACGGAGGTGGTTCCATTTTGTGCAGCCGGGTGAGAGGTCGCAATGCATCTAACCGTAATGCGTTTCTTTCAGCCAGCGCTGTAGGCAAGTCGAACGCACCTAATGACCGGACTGGGGAAACAAACTGAAACGCGTACTTAATACAGAGGACTAATGACAACAACCAGAAACAGCTGATCACATGGGGATATGTACGATTGGGGCAGGACAGGGGTAATGTTTGGATAAGATCTTTATCGTTTTGGAAGCCATTAAGAAAAAAACGCTCTTCTTGTTTTATCCTGTTCATTTTGTGTTTAAATGCAAAAAAAAACATATCTAGGTGTAATTTTGGGGGGCCGGGAACCAATTAATTGGTTTTCCATTATTTCTTATGGGAAAAAATCGATCAGAACTCGAACTTTTTAGGATTCGATCCGGAGTCCGGAACGGATTAAGTTCGAGAACCGAGGTACCACTGTATATTGGGGGGGGGGGGGTTGTCAATGTAATCTGCCTGCCAGGTAGCAACGAAAATCTGATCACTGTTAAAAATGCAAAACAGAAACAAATAAAGAGCGAATAATCAAATGATGGTACACATTTTCCTGAAGACAAGCTATATACTTGTATCAATGTGTTTTACAGACTCATTATCATAAACACATTACTGGGTGTACAACTCATTATACTGCTGTTTGGCAGAACAGAACAATTCTGTCTTCTCCTGCAACACCACACCGACCGTCAGTTGTGCTGACTGCCACAACAATGCTCCTGTAACAGGGCTGGTGAGAGGGAGTCCTCCAGTGGACTCTCTCATGCGGTTTTATCAAGTGGGATGGCTCGGGCATGAACACAGTCTCTAGGTGGACTGTGTAGTGTAGGGCACCCATTGCTGAACCATCGCAGCGCCAATGACTGTTTTGCCTCCCAAACTGTAGGGGGCAGCCGCTTTGCATCTAAGTAGTTGGCACGTGAGACACTGAAGAAGACGACGCGCCAGATTCAAAAATACATCGGTTATAGCTAAAGAAGGTAAATACATATATATATATATATATATCGTGTTTTATTGACTAAGGAAACAGAAAGCATCGTGCGCACTTAAAAGAAAGATCTATATGTTATTTTAGAACATACTGTATAATTCTAAATTTAGTTATTTGGCTAATAGACGAATTTTCTAGTTGGCCACCGACTGGCTACATAGCAGATTTTGTTACGTTTGGTAGATTTTTTTGCTTGTATTGCACAGCTCTTATGTCTATACAGCAATATTGTATATGTATTATTATATTAAGGTTCAATAGCTTACTAGTATCTTCAATAGTTATACACGGCTTTTGAGAGTATAGTTGTCACCGTCGTTTAAAATCGCTGTTATTTTGTTTCCACAGGACCATGTCGGAAAATACTTTCCCAATTTTTAAAATTGATGCTGTCGTGGCGTATATCCGGAGTGATGTTTTGACCGGCCAAGAGGCAAAACACTTTACCAAAAGTGACATAACTCCGATACCAAAGGTATTTAATCAGTGTTAAATTATTTGTATACAAAACGTCCACATGATCACTTAGCATTAATGACATGCATGTCAACCTAGCTGTAGTGAAAACAGTAAGATGGGTGATTAAAAAAAAAAAACCCGTAATATTGGTGGGAAACCAATTATCAAAAAGATGAGGTCTCAAACTTGCCGAGCTGCGGATCTTTCGGCGATAAAATTAGGGGACGGTGTTGTTATACGAGCTCTTAGTCAGATGTGTGAAATCGTGATTGTTTTAATAACACACATTTTCCCAACGCAGCCAGACGTCATCCGGACACTCTACATGCGGATTTTGCAGCTCTTATATCGCCTCGGCCCTGAATGTTATTACGTGGTATGTAAAAATAATTATTTTAAAATGATAGGAAGTGTAAAACTAAGCTGCATCACCCCTCCATCACTACTACCACTCATATTGGTTTACACAGGTGCCGTTGGATGAAAATATGCAGTTCCCCTTGTTACTGGAGATGGGCACGCCTATAATGAGTCTTTATGTGCGAATGTAAGTGTTACAGTCCCTGTTTCATCCTCACATACTTCACGTGCTGGGTGGTGCCAGTTGGAAGCAGTGTGAAGCTGGCAATAAGGGGGAAAAGTTCCAGTTGCTGTTTTTGCTCTGGTATCAAAAGAAGTTCGGTTTAATACTCGATTAATATTTTTATTGTAAATCACATGCAGTAATGATAACCTGTTAACAGAGAAAGAAAAGCATACCTTATTTTATACATCATATATTTAAATTTTCTATACAAACTTTAAATAAATGCTAGTCATCCAAAAAAAATGCAACTTCAATTGCCCAAAATGTTGTATTTCATATATTTCATATTTTGCTTCATAAAAATAGCAAAAATGAGAACAATGTATTGAACACCTTCCATTCGGTCCTGAAAAAACACTGTTGTGTATGGAAATAATGTTTAAATTCTTTCTTAAAGCGTTCTAAATGTAGAACTGTATAAAACAGATTTTGAAATAACTCAAAGTAAATGTACATTATAAATTCACATTGTAGTAACCCTTCTTGAATAGAAACAAGTAGCAGATATATCAAATAAGCTTCTGCAAGACATTTGCTGGATTTTGTGTACAGTGGCTTTAAGGCAAAATTAGGCCTGATTTCACATAGATCAAATGTACATTGATCAGCCTTAACATTAAAACCACTGAAAGGTTAAGTAAATAATATTGATTATCTCATTACAATGGCACCAGTCGAGGGTACCATTATATATTAAGCAAGTGAACAGTCAGTTCTTGAAGTTGATGTTATGGAAGCAGGAAAAACGGGCAAGCTTAAGGATCTGAACAACTTGATAAGGGGCAAATTGTGATGGCTAGATGACTATGTCACAGCACCTCCAAAATGGCAGGACTTGTGGGGTATTCCTGGTATGCAGTGGTCAATACCAATAAGGGCAGCAGGTGGAACCGCAACAGGTTCATGGGTGCCCAAGATACACTGATGCGTGTGGGGAGCGGAGGCTAACCTGTCTGGTCCAATCCCACAGGAGAGCTACTGTAGAACAAATTGCCAAAAAAGCTAATGCTGGCTGTGACAGAAAGATGTCAGAACACAGTGCATCACAGCTTGTTGCGTATTGGGCTGTGTAGTCGCAGACTAGTCAGAGTGCTCATGGTGACCCCTGTCCACCGCCGAAAGCACCTATGATGGGCAAGTGAGCATCAGAACTGGACCATGGAGCATGGAGAAGCATGGCCTGGTCTGATGAGTCATGTTTTCTGTTAAACCATGTGGGAATGCTGGGTGTGTGTGCGTGGTTTACTTGGGGAAGAGATGGTACCAGGATGCACAATGGGAAAGGACAAGCTGGCAGAGGCAGAGTGATGTTCTGCTGGGAAACCTTGGGTCCTGGCATTTATCTGTATGTTTTTTTTTTTTAACACGTACCATCTACCTAAACATTGTTGTAGACCAAGTACAACCCTTCATGGCAGGATAATGCCCTTTGCCGCACTACAGAAATTGTTCAGTAATGGTTTGAGGAACATGAAAGAGTTCAAAGTGTTGACTTGACTTCCAAATTCCCTGGATCTCTGTTTACATCTGTGGGATGTACTTGACAAACAATTCTGATCCATGGAGGCATCACCTTGCAACTGACAGGATTTCGGATCTGCTGCTAATGTCTTGGTGAAGGGTACCACAGGCCAGCTTCAGAGGTCTTTTGGAGTCAGTGCCTCAATGGGTCAGAGCTGTTTTGGTGGTACAAGGGGGACCTACACAGTATTAGGCAGGTGGTTTTAATAGTATTATGAGGCGAATGCCTCAAAAACGCTTAAAACGACGTACAAACGAGGTGGAAGAGTACGTAATGTTTGTTTGTAGTAGCCTAATTAAATATTTTTGTCACACATTTTTCCATCTGTATTTACTAGCTTAAAAAATTTATATATAAAGTATAACAAAGTAAAATAAAAAGAGCTCTTGTATCGGAATCGGAATCTGTATCGGCATTTGTGTATCAGAATCGGATCGAAACTGAAAAAAATGTGGATCGACCAATCCCTAGTTGCTTATTTGAGGTATCAGTATATATAATTATATATAATATTTGTATTATACCTGTGGATTTGACCTACGTGAAATACATCCTTATTTGAAATATCTGACAGTTTAAAAAAATATTTTTATTAGGGGAAATGTAACTGTTCATTCAATTTTTAAATAAGGTTTATTAGACAGGATTAATTTGCATAAGGGCAATACTTTACCAGTTAGCACAAAATTAATTATATTTAATTTAAAATTGAATTGAGGTTGTAATGCATTCCCTTTCGCAATTTGAAATGCAGCAAAATGTAGGCGTGTCTCACAAAGCTGCAAGCCATCTTGATCTCACAGAGCACAGACATTTTAATTTTAAAATATGCTTTTGTTATGACAACGGAAGTACGTCCAGTTCATTATTCTTTCTTATTTTTGTGAGGTTCACGGTACTCCAGTTCGGCACGTGTGTATGTCCCTTTTAATAACTATGGTAGTAGTATAAAGAAGGATTTTTGCATGCTGTTACTCATGTCCTCATATTGACTTCCTGTCCTGATTTCCTCTCTAGGTGTCAATTTCTGCCAACATGTTTTGTGTATGACTTTCAGATAAATGATCTGCTCAATCCAAGTAAGTCAATATAATTGAAGGTTACAGAGTACTTGGCATGTATGTGTCATTTTACATTGTTTTTCACATGCATGTGATTCTTTTCATTTTTAGAAGCAAAACGGACTATTTACATTTTGAGTGGCATCTTAAATTTTCTAAAATTCAGAAACCTGAGGATTGAGATGACAGCGGAGTACCAGCAGACTTTCGTAAGTTCACAGCTGATGATGATGAAAACCCTTTATTGCTGTTGCAATATACGTCACTAGTCACAAGTCCCAGCTACTTCAGTTTCCAGTTGTTAAGGCACCGTGAAGCTTAATTACATATTGTTTATAATATCAGAGCTTTTTGTAGGTTGTTAGGTGTTGCAAAAATTGGTGGTTGTTGTTGTTGTTGTATTCTTTCTAATTAATGTGCAAGAAACCTTTAGATAGTTTTAACCCATACACAAAATTGAGATGCTAAGCTGCTGGCATGGCTTCTCTGTGTTAAAAATGTGTGCCTGTTGGTATTTTGCGTCATCACATTGACCTCAAAGGAAAATCAAATAAAAAAATTTTAGACTGGTGAGGCTACGGAGCTCTTAAGAGGACATGGTTGGGTAATATTTTGAAGCAGTTTTGCGTTGCCTCACATCTGTTTTTGTGTTCCCTTGCAAAACTTTGGTAATTTAGCAAAATTAAGCATTAATACTATATCTGTGTATTTTGGATCGAATTCAAGATAAAAAATCAATGAGGTGATCCATTGCTGCTGGATCAGCCAGGATGTGTGGCACCTCAGCGAGGCTGTGCACAGAGTATAAAGGTCACGACAGGATTGTGGGGGAAGCACAACGTACAAAAATGTTTTCCAACCCTGTCCCTTTAGGGGGTGCATATCAGTTTATCTCCGAGTAATTTTTGTATTGTCCTTTTTTTGTCTTGCTAAATTTAATGTAATGTATTAATGTAAAATATATTGTTTTTGAAATATTTTTTTTCTTGATGTCCCCCCCACCCTCTAGAGAGCGGACCTAGATAAACAGCAGGCCTACACCAAGGGAATAAAAGATGGTGAGAAGATGACTGAGAAGCTAACGTAAGTCGTCGCGGTCCCTGTCTCACTAAAGTCTCACTCGCACACATCACCCTGCTTTTTCCCAATTCTGGTCATGTGCTTCGCTCAGGACAATCCCCCCGGAGCAGCAGGTCGAGGCCAAGGAACTGGCGGCTGCCCTGTCTGACCTCCAGAACACCACCACCCACGCCTGCCAGGAAGCGGTCGGTAGCGAGGCAGCCCCCCCCCCTTGCCTTTTCACTCTCCCGACAGCCCCCACCAGTGGCCGGGACACTCCAGTGACAGTGTTGTTGTCGTCTTTGTCATTTCAGAATACGATCAACCAACAGGTTGCAGAATGGAAAGCGGAGATCGCAGAGAGGTCACAGAAACTGGTCAGTGGGGTCCAGTTTACATGCTTATCTATTAGTTCTTGTGTATTTTCTTTTGAAACTTTGAGGTAGAAGTGTGAAGCTCTTATTCCTGCTGATAATTTATCAGGCTTTTAGTTACAGTTTAACATCCTGAGTTACTCGTGCTGTTTATGTGACTGTCAGACTTGATCTCTGTAACAAAGTGTGTGTCTCTCCTGCAGACCCAGAGGAAGGTGGATGTGACCACGCTGAAGGAGAACATAGGGAAACTGAAGGCCCAGATCGTGGAGTCACCGGAGGAGCTTAAGAGCGAAATGGAGAAAATGAAAGAGAAAGTGAAGGCGATCAAAAACTCAAAAGTATGAAGCACCCAGAATTTTGTAACTTGAAAAGGACACATCCCACTACTTTTGTGTGATGTCCCAAAGCTGTGCCGTGTAAATTTGACAGTCACAGCTAGAAAATAAGTAACCATATTACAATTTATCTTATATGTTGGCAAAGAGTACATTGAAGTCAGGTTCTTTTTTTAAGCATTACATGTGTGAAGTGCTGTCTTGACAGGAAAACGTGAATGCCAGAGTGGTGGAGTGGCAGATCAAGGTGCAGGCAGAGACCCAGAGCAAGGCTGAGTTCCAGCACTTTAACAAACTGCTGCGGGACCTCGGGGCGGGCATGGAGAAGATGAAGAGCCAGCAGGAAGAGGTACAGCCCCCCCCCAATGCGACATGGCTCTGGGATCCATCCGGACAGCGGTGGGCCAGGCACTGACTCTGCTGCCCTTTGGGTGCTGACAGATCCAGGTGCTGGAAGCTCACTGTGAGGCCATGGAGAAGGAGATGAAGAACCTAGGTAATGAAAAGGGCGAGCTGAAGTGGGCCCTCGAGAGGAAGATGGACAAGCTGACCAAGCAGCAGATCAGAAGGCAGAGGAAGAGGGAGATGAAGGACCAGCACGTTCAGAACTTCATGGGGTAATGCGACGTACTAGTCTCCTCTCCTGTCTGGCATCCTTATTCCTTCAAACATATTATTATTAAAAATATCTTTGACCATAGTGTTTCAGAGCGAGAGGGGGATATAGGGCTCTCGAAGGAACAAACAGGCATGCTTAGGTTCTAACAGAAACACTATTAAAAGTAATACAAAATAACCTTGCATTAAAATCAATACCAAGATGTATCAAAAGCAATGCAAAATAACCTCGTATTACAAGTGATATCAAATAGTATTATATTTATTATAGCTAATAATAATAGGTGGAAAGATACAAATTATATCTATATATATATATGGCTGATGTACCCCTCAAGGACAGCCATTAAAATATTAGTAACTTTTTTGGAAAACCAAAACATTTGTGACCCAGTACTGTTTATTTGTAAATATTCTAATTCATATTGTTTTTTTCTGAGCAGATTCACGCATGATAAATAGCTTTAAGCATTTTTTGGCCTTTCTCATAGTACTCTGCAGTGTTTCCTTTGGGTCAAGATGTTTGGCATGGGGTGAACCATAACAAAAGCCTAACTGTACAACACACACTGCCTAACTGGATGTGATTCAGTCAAACTTTGAGGCTTTGTTGTGGGAAGTGAGTCTCTCCCGATGCATGACCCCCTTTCACATATAAAACACTTCATCCCTCTGTCTTCTCTAAGGGTAAAGTAACGGGTGTCATGTACTCCCAATTGTAATGGGTGAGTAAAGGGGGAGTATACCCCCCTGTGCAATGTTCAAATGCACTACAGATGGGCCTCTCTTAAAAACTGGTTCCTGATGTTTGAAACTGTATCCTGATGTTTGATGACTTGTCTGCCAGCGAATGTCTCCAGGTAAATCAGAAACGAGAGGAAATCGTGGATCAGATACAGGACATCAGCCGAGAGACGCAGCACATCAAGGCGACCATCCAGGGTCTGAGAGATGTGTGTAACCTGGATACAGACAAGGCCCAGGTAAGGCTGCTGCCGACTGTCGCCCCCACGTCCTTGGTGGGGAACTTTACATGCGGCTGGTTTCTTTCCACTCAAGCTTGTGAGTCATTAAATCCTAGAGATTAACCTGAGAACATGTAATGTAGGCATTGTTTCTGAGATCCTTCTCTACGCTGCTTTTACTGACTAGCTTGAGGTGCTTAATGGAGATTACTGCTTTCTGAGTAAGTGTGGCTGGTAAGACTAGTTAGTGTATTTGTGTTATGTTAGATGCTTTAGTAATGTATTCAGATAATTACTCGCTTCCAATGTCTTTCTAGGCTATCTACGATCGTCTGCTGTCTTCCCTGGACCAGTATCACAAGAGGATTGAAAGCCACATTGTCCAGGGGAATGAGGACATCATGAAAATGAAAGCACATTACTAAGCAGCTTCTTTATTTCCGCTTCTTGTATTTGTCTCCTGTCTTCTGTACTCTTGCTTTATTATCCTCAACACTGTTTGGGTTATCACTCTTACTCTGTTTTAATGTCTTTCATGCTTTGGTTGCTGGAAAACTCACAATGGAAAACAAATTGAATACAGTGCACTTGTTTCAAGGCAAGTTACCATTTGGTCAGAGACTTATTTCTGCATTCTGAGGTGAGGCATTCATTGTCGGAAGCATCGTCCACATTCCTTAGACTAGCAGCCAGTTCTGTGTGTGTAATGAACCCTCACTGCTTTGCCTTCTGATAGGGACACATTATGGTTTTATGGGAATGATTCTTCACTCTGTTGAAAAATCTAGATAAAATACATAAATCACAAGTTAGCTAAGAAACTGTCGCTAACTGCTTAAATTAGATGGTTTTGATTAGATGCTTCACAAAATTAGATAATTGTGCAATAGTCAGTAATACCATTATTATTTAAATATTTCAGTACAATTTTGGTTAGTAAGTTATAAATATAGAATAGACAGGAAAACTATGGGCCACTAACACCAAATAACATGACTATTAGTACCGCAAACATTTTAGCTGGTGTAGTGTAATACAGGCCAGTTGTAGTAAACCATGATTACTCCATGATCTGCTTTGAAGTGTGTAATAACTACAAACATTTATTACCCCCCCCCCTCCATTAATCTAATTTTTTTTTTTTACTGACTTGCTTAAACTGTGCTTCTAATGTATTTCTACACTGGCCACATGGTGGCAGCAAAGTAAACGCTTTTGTCAAGTGACAGCATGTGTCAGTAGGATCAAGATATTTGCCAATCCCTCTCCCCCACTCAGAAACGGTGATAAGAATGAACTAAAATGAACGAGGTAAAATAAGTCTATGAAACAGGAATGGCATTTCGTTTTTCAGCTGGACTTTGGTTCAGTGTCCTAGGTAGTGTCTAGTGTGCAAACAGATTTTTTTTACTTCCTTTCCCTGTCTGGTTTCTGTAAGTCCCCAGGGCAAACCACTGCAGTGTTGGCACTTGTTTGTATAAACATCCTTGTGTTCTCAGGGGCTTGTGACTGGGGAATTTTTTGAGCTGAAACTTGAGGTTAAATATTTAAATAATAAACATTTCCAAGCATGTATCAACTATTCCTGGACAGAAAACAGAATTAGTCGTCTAAATGGACTTTGTCCACAATTGAGTAATAAAACCAAGATGTCATTTTGTTTTGCGGCATTAAAATCATTATTTCCTGCTTATCATGCCACAGTGGCAATAGATGCTTATTGTATATAAAGGAAGTGGAATGGTTCTCTCACCTTCAGGCTTGGGAATTGGAATCCTTCCTTCATTCTGAACGAAATTGAATAACCTCAAAATGCCATCATAAGCAGTTGTAAAATTTACATAAAATTAAAAATATAAATTTTTAAATCAAATGAAAAAATGTGAAATTGTGCAGTGTAACACATATTACAGTACTGCATTAAATTTATATAAATGATTTTGAAGGCATCATCTATAGTGATGGCACAGTTTTCTTAACCCCTCTGCCTCACTGTAATACTGCTAATAGTACAGTATTAATACTGTATTATGGTAATGTATGTATGCTAATGTTAGGTTACTTTATGTTACATCAGGTCAGGTATATAAGCTCGCTTGGCAACAAAATTGACAAACAGTGCCCTGGTCGGAACCATATGCCACCATTAAGAGAGACAACTATACTGGGTAACTGCATGTGTCAGAGGGTACGATTTCCCTGGGATGGGATGGCATCGCAGCCCAGGGGCCCCACACTGCCGGGGAATAGGCTCCAGGCACCTCCGCAACCCGGGATTACATAAGCGTGCAGATAGATGGTTATTTGTGTTTATTGCTTGCATCTGTGTTTAAGCCATTAGATTAAATCCTTAACATTTTTAAGAAGGCGATTCTTATTCTTCTAGATCCTAAGAGTCATTTTTAGTGATGCAAGTTTTCCGGACTGGAAACAAATTATCACAGAGCCAGCATAATGAATATAATCTATTTTATTATTTGCTTGTACAGCTTATTTAGGTACTCTTCGTATTACAAAACTAATAATGTTTTAACAAAGAAGTAAGATCAAACAAAAGACAATTACAGGAAATGTGCATATATAATATCTAATGAGTCATGTCTATGTTTAATATTGTCTCAGATATTTTGCATAATGAAACTGTCTGACTAAATGTAATGCACACTTGAACTGGAACGTTAGATGAAAACCTCAGATAAGGTTTGTCATGTTGTAAAATGTACATTCCCAGCTGGCTTAGTAACAGACCAGCAATCTATTGCAACACTGTTGTAGTTGAAATTTTATCTTCAATATTTGCCATATGTTTAACCAAGCTGATATCCTGATTTTTACACGGAAATAAGTGTAAAATGAAGTTGGCAATACGTCCGTAGCACAAAAGTACAACATAGCTTTAACCATCTGCCCAATAAATATGAACCACATCCATGTTCTACTTCTAAATCTGCTAAAATTACACAATGTGTAAATTTTTAAAAAAATGAATATTGCCTGTATTTGTCAAGAGCCAGCTGGAAAACCGCCGTAAATATAGACAATCAAATCACAGAACCTCTCCTCGCTGTTGCATAACAACAATAAATGGAACCGTGTGGCTACTTTAAACTATGAAACACACAGCGTACACAAAACCACATTTTTAATGGAACCCAATGACAGGGACATTGCAGAGGAAAGACGTTACTGCATGAGTTCCCTCTCCTGAAATTTCTCTTTTTCTTCTATCTAGACTTCAGAAAATCCCCTTCGGTCTCGGCTCAAAGTCCAATTTGCTGCGATATGTTATCTACATGACTTCCCAGCAGTTGCACTTTGCTGATGGTCTGAGACTTGGTTCTCAGCATGTGATGAGGAGGGCGTTGGTCAGGGACTGATGACTCTGTGTTCGCTCCAGGGGTGCACTGGCGAGAAGCTCACACGCAGCAAGCTCATGATAAAGAGCGTTCAGCACCTCAAGAATGTGCGCCTTCCCTGAAGAACACACGGAAGAACATTAATGATTTTGCCATCAACATCTTGATTTAACTGCAGGTTGTTAGTTTATGATCACAAAGCCGAACACCACATTTTCTTTTCTGAGGTGAGTGATCCTCACCATGTTGTGGGTCACTGCAAGATTCCAATGTGCTTAACAAGATCTTGCCCAGAGATCTTCTCGATACATTCTGGAAAATGCAGAGTGGACAGACATCAGTCTGTATTAGAAATCAAAGTAGATCTATGTCATAACAGTTTGCAGAACATGGAAAACCACTGCAGAGGTGGCTGCCAATCTGGCCAAGATGATTACATCTTCATTGTGCTTAAATCTGTTTGCATTTTTTGAGTGGTCATCACAGCAACAGTTATATGAATGGGCCATTCTGCTCATTGTCCTCAACTGACCAAGTCTCGCAGCTTCTGCAAGAGCTGCAGGACGTCCATGAGCTTCTCCTCCACCAAGGACAGACGCACCCGCTCCGTCTCCAGCATCTGCAGCTCCATGTGCAGCAGCTCCGTCTCCTCAGCCTTCTGCTGGAGCTCCAGCAGTAATGAGTCCTTCATCTTGCCAAAAAGAGAACATTTAACATTAATGAACTGTTATTGCTTAGTTTGTTTAATGTTACTTAAAATCAAAGTGACAACCCAAATAACTTAATGGTAAATAGCCAGGGTAAGTATGGTAGCTTAGTGGGTAGCCTGTCTGCCCCCTACCTTTGAATCTCACCTTCAGTGGATATGTGTAGCTTGAAAGTTGTCACAATGTTGTATGGGTCTCCCATGTAAATGTAATGTCTAAAGGCAAATTTAAGTGGCATCTATAAATTACCCTGCACATTACAACCCTGTTCAATGTCTATCCCTGTTCTGTACTGCTATCCCACCCCCCCCCCCCCCTCCCGCTCCCCAACTAGGATCAATGCTTAGAAGATGGCTGAACAGGTATACATCTAAGAATACAAGCAAGTACAGTATGTCATATCATCAAGGTTTTTCCTGGGAAACTGGGAATTTTTCAGTTTATGCATTCACTTTGTTTCCCATAAAGATTGACTTGGCCAAGCAATGACCCAATAGTACAACTGCAGTATATTTTTTTTCATTAATGCAACACAATAAGTAACAGTTGTGGCCCAGTTTGGCCTACCTGGTCCATATCCATCTCAGCCTAGTTATTGTTATTATTATTTTTCAAAACTTTATTTATCATTGCTTTTTTCCCCATTACAAAATAGATCACAAAATACAAACACACACACACACACACACACACGACAAAAGGGGAGAAAAAAAAAAAAACAAAAACCACAACCTGTGAACAGTCTAGTTTGCTAGCTATTACATATTTATCCTGTGATATATCAGTATTCCAGTGCTCATCTTGTCGCCGAGAACATAAACACAGTCCATTTCTTCAGACCTCGTTCCTCTTGAATTCTTATTTTGTGCGTTAACTGCTCCATGGTATACACTCACCTAAAGGATTATTAGGAACACCATACTAATACGGTGTTTGACCCCCTTTCGCCTTCAGAACTGCCTTAATTCTGGCATTGATTCAACACGGTGCTGAAAGCATTCTTTAGAAATGTTGGCCCATATTGATAGGATAGCATCTTGCAGTTGATGGAGATTTGTGGGAT